CCTGTCGCACGGACTGCTGGCCGATGCGCTGCTGCCGCTCTGTGCGGCAGCGCGACCACGGCCGGCCCTTGCTGGCCGTCTGGCAATATTCTTCGACCATACTGATTTATTTTAACATGTTATGACTTAACATGAACAATAAACTGAATTTATAAAGAAATGGATGATCTGACTTGTTAGACTTAACGCATGGCCGTCGTAGGCTCGCTACGTGCGAGGCCTACGGCCCACGGCCAATAATTCGACCAATCGGAAACTTATCTCGACCAACTTAACATAACTGAACTTATCATGACTTAACATGAATATTATGACCTGAAAATACAACTAATATACGCTGAACATGGAAGGGTCGCGGCGGGCGCGCCGTGCGCCGCCGACGGCTATACGCCGTCTTTCGGCCACAACCCCTTTTTCCATGGCAATAACAGAACATCTCAACATGAATATAATACTGAAGAAAATTTAATACATGAACACACGGACACCATAACGATTACTGAAGGCACTACAACACGGCCCGCGGCCACCCGAGGCCACGCGATAGGCGCTGGCGACGGCTGGGGCCATTTCATCGACAATACTTCATTTTGCCTCGACAAATCTGAACTTATTGAACATAAAATAGGCTAAACTGAACATTTAAACGATAATGGTTCGAGAGTTGCCGGAAGAAATCGAAAATAACTCGGTCATGACCTTACTTACGCATATACGGACTTAGGCATGGTTTTATTTGAAATTCTCGAAAATCGATCGAACACTTAACCTCAATATAACTTTATCAACATGAATACAAGCTGAAGGAAAGGTTACCTCTCTGATCGTTCGATTGAAATTCGAAAATAAGGCGTGCTACTCGTCCTTGCGTGCGCCGTGCGTATGCTCAAATATTGCCGTGCGATTCTCCTACTTTGCTGGCTGAGGTTCTATGAAAATGGAGGGATTTTTGCTTGGTTCTTAACTATTGTTGAAAAGGAGAAAATAGATGCTGAAAATAGCTTATAGGAGTGAGGAAAATTCATCCGATTATCTCCCTATATACACGGCTAATTGGAAATTGAGTGACGAGGTGCAACCGTGGCTTTCTCCATGGCTTCCACTTGTTACTTCCTTAGCTAACTTGGGTGACTAATCAACTCTTTTAATTAGCCACGTGTTCTAGTGAAATGTGGAGGAAATTTACTCCCTTAGACGTGAAGTAACATACACGGCCATGCAATATTTTGAGAAAAATTCATGTAAGGTTGAACTACTACCGTAAGGCTACGGTTTTGGACTTAATGATGTAATTAATTGCTCAATTAATCCCTTAAAATATGTTTAATTTTTCAATTAAACATAATACTCAATTACCAAAATTATTCCGAACGTAAACGGTACGTCGAAAATAAATTTCGGTAATCTCGACTGAAAATAATTAATTCCGAAAATAATAATCGATAACGTTATTATATCGGAACTAAAACGTAATTTATACCGATAAAACATCGGGATATTACAATCCTCCCTCCTTACAAAATTTCCGTCCTCGGAAATTCAGAACATAACTGATAATACATGAACTGTGTACATAGGATAAAGAAATATGTACATCAAAACTGGAAATCTGGGAAACGAGCGCGAATGTCAGACTCCTCCTCCCAAGTAGCTCCGTGGCGATCCCACTGAATACGCACGAGGGGAATATCTCGCTTCCGAAGCCGACGGACCTGACGGTCTAGTACAGCTACCGGTCGCTCCTCGTACGTAAGATCTGACTGAACCTGAATATCCGTATGAGGGATGACATGATCGGGGTCGCACACGTACTTACGTAACATAGATGCATAGAATACATTATGAATGCCTGATAACTCGGGAGGTAGGGCTAGACGATACGCGACCTCGCCTACTCGCTCGAGAACCTCGAACGGACCAATGAAACGGGGGTGCAGCTTCCCTCTCTTGCCGAATCGCACAACTCCACGAATCCGGCGAACTCTGAGAAAGGCTGGCTCGCCAACCTCGAACTGAATGTCTCGTCGATGATGATCGGCGAAAGATTTCTGTCAACTCTGAGCTGTCCTGAGTCTCTGCCGGATCAACTCGACCTGCTCCGCTGTCTCCTCGATCATCTTAGGACCGAGTACTCGCTGTTCTCCGACGTCGTCCCAATAGAGAGGGGAACGACACTTGCGACCATAAAGTGCCTCGTAAGGAGCCATCTGAATGGAAGAATGATAGCTGTTGTTATACGCAAACTCGGCGTACGGCAACAGTGACTCCCACTTGATACCCCTGTCAAGAACCAAAGCGCGAAGCATATCCTCAAGGGTCTGAATAGTCCTCTCTGACTGACCGTCCGTCTCCGGATGGTAGGCTGAACTGAACTCAAGCTTCGTGCCCATCGCCTCATGTAAGCTGTGCCAGAATCGACTGACGAATCTGGGATCTCTGTCTGATACAATAGTGACGGGCACTCTGTGGAGTCGGATGATCCCACGGGTATATATCTCAGCCAACTTGTCCACAGACATCTTCATCGAAACGGGTAAGAAATGCGCAACCTTAGTCAATCTGTCGACCACGACCCAGATAGCATCGTGATGTTCAGACGACCTCGGTAAGCCCGTAACGAAATCCATAGTGACTTCCTCCAACTTCCACCTCGGAATCGGCAGTGGCTGTAGGAGGCCGATCGGACTTTGATGCTCGGCATTGACCTGTTGACAGGTAAGACACCTCCTGACGAACTCGGCGACGTCCTTCTTCAAACCTCGCCACCAGAACGACCCTTTCAGGTCGTGATACATCTTCGTGCTCCCGGGATGGGCCAAGTAAGGTGCGGTATGTGCTTCTGATAGAATCTCCTTCTGCAACGCCTCGACCTTCAGGACCACGATCCTGCCTCTGAACTCCAAGGCACCATCGGCGCCTAGCTGAAAATCCTGGACACCTCCGACGCGAACCTTGGCCTCCATGACACGAACAAACTCGTCAGAAGCCTGCTCTCGCCAGATTCTTTCTCTCAGTGTCGGCTGAAGCTGCATAGCACTGACACTGGCACTGGTACTCCCCGAGACAGCTATGGGAAGTGTATCGATCGCCTGAAGTTGCATCCGGGCAAACTCATTAATCAACGGACTCTGCTGCGTAATGACGTACGTCAAGTCACCCTTCACCTTTCGGCTTAGGGCATCCGCGACGACGTTCGCCTTTCCCGGATGGTACTGAATAGAACAATCATAATCCTTGACAAGCTCAAGCCAATGGCGCTGCCTCATATTAAGCTCCTTCTGCGTGAAGATATACTGTAGGCTCTTATGGTCCGTAAAAATCTCGCAACGTCCGCCGTAAAGATAATGTCGCCAAATCTTCAGGGCATGAACGACTGCTGCTAACTCCAAGTCGTGCGTAGGATAGTTCTGCTCATGAGGCTTAAGCTGACGTGAAGCACGACCTATCCGTCCTGCATAAGGACACATCCCAAGCCCTGTCTCGAAGCATCGCTGAAGATAGTGAAACTCCGAGAAGGATCGGGAATAGTCAACACCGGTGCTGAAGTTAGTCTTTTCTTGAGCTCCTAAAAGCTCGCCTCACATCGGTCAGTCCATTCGAATTTCACAGACTTCCTTGTTAGCTGGGAAAGAGGGAGAGCAATCTTGGAGAAGCCCTC